GGGAACGACGACGGCACCGATATATTCGGCACCAGAAGTGACGAAAACACCGTAAATACTGATGAAATGGGCATGTCGGTTTTGCGCGTTTACGCGACGTTGGAGCCAACAACAACAACCACAACAACAACAACAACAACTACTACTACTACTACTACTACTACAGCTGCTACCACCACCTACTATTAACCACCACCACCCTGATGCTGATGACGACTACTACTAACAGGACGATTGCTGCTGTGATTTTGGTCACTGTTTCTTGATGCATTTTTGATTTTCTTTATCCCGAACTTTTTTCAATCATCTTGAGTATACCCTCTAGGAGATACTGGAAATTTATGTTGTGTTGATCACTATTTTGATGTTGCTCCCAGATTTTCGCTTTTTCAGATCCCTGTTCGATTTGGTTTGGATCCCTCAGCCAGTTTCGTTAGACTGCATTTGGCAAAGACAGGTTCTGCTGAACCTCCATTTCATGTTTGCGGCTGCCTTGACCTGTAGGTGATGCAGCAAAGAAAGTCACCACGCTCATGCTGCGCAATGTCCCCAATGCATATGAAGCTTGGTTTGGCAATTGGAATTTTTCCAAGCCCGAAAGTGCCGAGGGCCATGTGGAGCTCGAGTCAATATGTCGTACTACTGCTCTGGAATCTTGCCTTTTGGGATGAGTGCGGCTAAGGATCGTGAAGCGTTAATGGCGGAATTGGCCAACCTCGGTTTCGAGGGAGCCTTGTCCGGGCAGTCTTCTGTGCTGCGCCGTGATGATGGAATGCTGTCGGTGAACAGACCGCCCCAGACCAGTGACCAGACTAGAGGGTTTCCGTCACCCCAACCTCCAGGGACAGCATGCCGCTGTTGCAGGCAGGTGCCACTACATGTTTCTGTGTCACTGTGGCTGGAGAGTTCCCCGCAAAGGATCCTTCGACTTCCTGTATTTGCCCATTGACACGTCCACGAAAAACAATGTCGGTTATGCCTTCGTAAATTTCTGCAATGAAGAGGCATGCATGAACTGCCCAGTCCTCAGCTGCTGAAAACAGCCGTTACCCAGTGAGATCTTGGCTGTTGGATGTACTTTGTTGTGTATGTGCGAAGGTGCGTATGGGGCTGCCGCTGTTATGTTCGTCTGCGCAAGAGCTCAGGTATGAATGCTCTGCGTGGCTACTTCTTCAAAGGGTGGCCTGTCCAGGGTTTTGACACGACAACTGTTTTCTGGTATTCCTTACTAGACACCGTGTGTGTTTGTCAGCACCATGCTATGCATGGCACACACGTTATGCCCTCGCCATGAGGCAGCCCTACAACCGGCGTAGACCTGCAATCGTTTCAGTCGCACATCTTCAGGGTCTGGATTCTTGGCTGCACTCGAGATTTCACCTTCATGATTATGACCCTCATTCTAAAGTGCTGGGTCAGCCTACAGTAGCATGTCGACATGAATCTGGGGAGGGTCTGCGTGACTGGAGAGGGCGCTTCTGGACGATATTCAGATCTCGGACATCAGACGACTTCAAACAGCCTTGCTACCGTAGCCCCACTTGAAAGCTCTGACCTCAGCCTCGGCCACGGGAGGAAGCCAACCTCCAGCACTACAGTACCTGGGCATTTCCTGGTGGGAGGAGACGCCTCGAGAGCCTCGAGAGCTTCGTGACAGTGTAGTAGCCGGTGTCGCCGCTCTCAGGTCGCACCCAGGTCTTCAATGCGCGGCTGCCCTGCCAGCGTCCCTGGGTGGCGCGCGAGGCGGCCACAGCCCTAGCAGATTGCCAGTGGGCCCCAGGCCAGGTCGTTGGTGACTTCTTCCCAGAAATGGAAAAGTGCTGGCATTTGCCGCTGCCCTGGCAGGCGGATTTGCCAAGTTGATGGAGGATGCTGCTGCCAGACCAGGTCCGGCGCACAACGGATTGAATTCCTTGAATCTCTCTTACTGGCTGCTAGCTGCATGCCGCCGTCACTCAACGGTGTACTGGATCGCACAGTCTTTGCGAGAGATTCATCTGCTGTGCGACACATGCCCCAGCCGCGATCACAAGTAAACAAGTGTGCAAGAAATGACGTCGCGCTCCTTGGAAGGCACGCAGCCAGACACGCAGTCCCTCATCCACCGACGGCGCGTGCGTGAACGGTGGATGCCCTTCAGCAGCAGATGCCCCCAGATCCGCCACGACGTTGCAGGGTTTGAATGCAAGACCATCCAGTGCCGAATGCCGACTGTAGCGGCATCTGAGGTTCCACAACTATGGGCTGGCAGCCCCTTGAAGACGAAAAAGTATGGTAAGATCGGCGTTCGTAAGACATGAGTGTTGACCATTGCCATAGTGCCAGAAGCTGAAACTGCTTCTGGACATGCCGTCAACCAACTGCCGTTACGAAGTTTATTGCATTTTTTCGTTGTTTCCTCCTGATGTCTTGTGTACAGTTCATAACCCATAGCCGAAAGTTCTTCCAAGGCTTATGACATGATGCCTGATGGGGGATTTGGTCCCGGAGATCAGCCATTGTACAGTAATGATACTCCGCGATACCACAATCCAGGCAGGTCCCTGTCCTGTTCACGTGTGTGGGTGCTGCCTACTGGCGTTCCTGCTGTGCGTGAAACACTTGTCAGGACAGGTTGTTCATGAAGGGATGAACGCCGACATGAACGCCCAAGCTCTGAAACAGGTTGAGGACAAAGAGCGACTTTGCAGTATTTAACGAGCACAGACGTGCATTCAGCTGAAGAATCTCTGGATAATGGCATCCTTGCATCTGGAGGGTAGGACTTCAGCACCAACAAGGCCAGATGCTCGCTTCAGCTTAGGTCGCAACTTGCCAACACTGACAAGCCAAATGGTCCAGAGCAAAATCGCACTGCCGTCTCTGCAGCTGGGCATCTAGAGAAGCAGCGCCACCTCTTTTCGCCCCTCCACGTCCCACACATCTTTAAATTTACGTATGTGCATGTTTGCATCAATGCATTCATGTTCATGCATTGACACATGCCCTCACCGTCACCTGCATGAGGTGTGTAGACCGGCACCAGCAAGACCTGTACTGTAGCTGTACCGTCACGGATTCCGGGTTAGGTGTGCGGGATCTATCCAATCTATTCCTGTAGCGGAGCCATGTGGGTGACAGAAAATCCTGTACCGCAGCCATGAACAAACAGAAGTGCTTGCACTGCAGCTCCCTCGTTATTCCTGGGCTTTGGTCGTGTCATTCGTCGATGGGCTTGTCAATCATTGCAAGTTTGACAATGTTGAGTTACCAAATGATGGAACACCTGCCATGGCGAGGTACTCTCTCGCATGTTGAGGGGCGAGTCGGTCGACCACCATGACTTGCCCGAAGAAGATGAGATTGATGAGATGGACCCGCATGGCTTCTCAGACGAAGCTTTTGTTCAGCAGCGCCGTCTCCTGGTGCTCTCGCTATCTTTGTTTCTAAGGAATGGATCTCCTTGTCCCTGAGATCATGCCGGTGATGTGCAGGGCTAAAGTACAGCCTTAGAATGTATAAGAGTGACACTTCCGAAGAAGTCCTTTTTGACAGGCCAGGGGCTGGAAGTTTCGATGAGTGGTATGGCCCCTGGGCTGAACTGCATCGGAGTCATTGTCGGGTTTCCGGAAATGTTTTCGGCCGAAAGATGAACCAACACCAGCGCATCTCCACCTCAAGCACCGGCTGCGACTTCCGCTTTTTGCTTGCTCGTCCTAGGATGGCCCAGCCTGGTTTACAACTACGACTACGGCATGTCAGGGCCACCACAGCCAGGGCCGGTGCCGGAGGACCGGGTCTGAGAGTCTCCTGGCTTTTGGGGGCCCAGGGGACCGCACGCTTAAACAAAAAGTGACTCTTGTGGCATTGCGGGCTAAGAACGTCCTTGCCTCATGCTTCTTGCTTTTCCCCCACAGAAGCTGCTACCGGTTTTGTTTCGTGTGTATTCGAAAACCTGCGGCTCTTGAAGGATGGCACTCTTTTTGTTTTGCGGGGGTGTGGAAACTAAAGCAGCGCAGAACTTGTAGCCAGCTCTGCAAAAACGAGCCCTGCATGCAGAAGGTACAACATGCGCCCGTGCCGTGGCCAGGGCTCGATTTTTGGTACGAAATTCGGGTTCAGCGTGGGTTGTAGGAACCGCACAATAATTCAATAACTTGTAAGCTGGCTCCGAAATCGCACAGCGCAAACAGTGCAGAAGAACTTCGCACTGGGTCCAGAGCAGGATATATTTTTGAGGACGAAATGCAATTGAAACTTTCACATCTCCGGACTCCGGACCACCCCGACAAAAGACACACTGCGTCGTCCGAACAGCCTCCGAGTGAAAATGTGTGATTTGCGGAAAGTTTGCCAGAGCCTCTATCTTGTGTTTTCGACACCTGCGAAAGCTGCTCGCCCTTCGCTCGGGTTGCGGCCACGTGATCGCATCGCATTGATAACACACGACGTGTGCAAACGCACGGTCCCTTGTGGTGCCGGCACCTTGTTTTTGACGGCTTTTCAGGCCGCTGGTCTGACGTCCAGAGTCTAGAACATGAGGAGGGACTGTCTGTAATCTAGAATCCAGTCTTCAGTCTCCGCAGCAACTAGTAACTAGTAGAAGTGGTAGCTCGCAGGCAGTACAGGCAAAAGATGAAGCAGACACGGAGAAAACGACGGTTGCGGCTCGTCAGCAGTGCTCAGTTCAGCGAGCCAGTTCAAGCGTGATTGCATGGATGTCTGCAACGCCTGGCAAAGGTCCTGACGAATGTTCCCCGCAGTTTTTCAGCCCAGAACGTTTTCGACGTGTTGAAGCGCTTGGAGGTCTACGATCCTCAGCTGTTCGCTTGGACCTGTCGGTCCGTTTCCAATCGTTTGCTCAGGACCAGCTGTAGTGTCACAACCCGTTCTGCTGCTGTTGCTTCTAGCCATTAGAATGATTCAGAATGTACGCATGACCCAAACATAGCTAAGGAGTCTTGCAGAGCCGCTCGGCCGAACTCCTTCCGGTCCAGTTGGAAAGCAACCACTTACTCACGTTTTGGTGCTGGTCATCAGTGTCACCATGGAGCTAAGGGCCTGTGCTTCTTAGACGCCGAAACAGGATATGCAGGCCAACGGACCTCGGTGCTCCAGTTCAACTCCGTCGAGCAGGCAGAGCTCGCAAAAAAGTCACTTGTGGACACTCGGCGAAGGCTAAGCTCCGGTTATTGCTGGGGGGCAGAGATTAAGATTCTGAGATGGCAGTCCACCGGCCGGATGTACTCAGGAGTCCACATGGGGTGGAGACAGGAAAGGAGAGAATGCCAAGATCCAGGTGGAGGATGGGACGACTTCACACACAAGCTATCTAGGGTCATACTTGGGAGGCGGGTTTTCTCCAAGAAGCCACTGAAACTTCTGCGACTTTAAAAGGGTGTAGCATTACCATGTCTTTACCGGGGTCTAAACTCCGGAATGAACACCGGGACTTCAGGGAGCTTTTGGTATGCTGTCTTTCAATCGCACTTAAGAGACGTGTCTGTCGGTTGTTGCATCCTTCAACATCATGGACATGTTCAGGAGAGAGATTCCCGGCTTGTCACCGTGACTATGCATGTTCCACTAGTCACTAGTCTCTGTTGATCATATGCAGAACTCAACTGTCTTATGTACTTCTCTCAGCTGGCAGCAGCTGAGCCGGCAAGCAAAAAAAGCTTGCACGCGATTTACGTTTGTGGCTCCGGGATCCTTTGCCCTGCCGGCGTGTTTCCTCTCCAAGGTTTCTTTGCACCTCTGGCAGTTAGGAAATCAAGGAACTTCAGAGGGCTCGACGGGCGAAAGGGAGACGGGAGCTAAAACTTCGAAGGCTCTCAGTGAAACCAAATCCAAATAGACTCAGCCCGGCTTGAGCCCTCGGAAGCTTCGGGAAGATAGCTGGCAAGACTGTGGTGCGTGCATTCAGCGCTGTGCACCTGTGTTTGAGTAATGATACGGCCTTTCATGGTCAGCTCGTATCGGCAGGACCTCCTCACCCACGATCTGGAGCAGTTTTCAGCAGGCGGCACTCGTGCCGCAAGCTCCTGGGAAGAAGAGGAATTGATGATGCCGGAGTATGCGGACCAGTGGGATGCCCCATCGTCGTGGCTGGCTGCGGGGCGGCCCCCTGATGTTTACGTGCCGCCCAAGACCGGCATGGAGTTTCTGGGCCAGGAAAGCCACACGGGCAATCTGAGTGCCCACGAGGGCGACAGGGCACACTTTGTGGTTTCGGAGGCAGAGGCAGACTGCTTTGAAGTCCCGGCCGTCCCGACTGGCATGGATGTGGGCTCACCATCAGCTCCCGCAGACGCAGACTCTTCCGCTTCACCTGAGATGAACCGACAGGATCAGTTCCTCGAGGAGTTTGACACGAGTTGGCCGAAGTTGCCAAGCAAGGCCAAAAAGTCCGCAGATGTTTTGGGCGCAGGCACGACCAGTCGCTGATGCTTTCCAGAGGCACATGAAAGCACCCCTACTAATCCTAACATGTGCGGTCTACAAGCGAATGACATGAACGCAAGGAATGGGTGGACGCCGAGGTTTGTGGCATGTTCCCGAAAGGAGCATGGGTAAGGCAACTTGGTTACATCATGTTGCACATGTTGCATCCCACGCTGCTTGATGTTTCCGTGGCAGCAGTGTGAAAACAACCTGAAGCTATGACAGGCACAGGAGGAAACCCTGTGCCCAGGATGACCACGCCATCGACTAGAACCGACTTCCGCTGCCTGCTGCGCAAAGAGCAGTTCACAGACCGCTTGGGTGTGAAACTGAAACTTTCGCATAACACTGGTCGTGCAGGTATCGCCTGTGAGTTGCTTTGAGGCTTGGTTGGATGTTGCTTGTGATTGAGTGTTTTTTTGAGTAGTGCATGTGCATCTGAACTCTGAACTCTGAGCTGCCCTTGCTTCCTTCGTGCACTTCAATTCGTCGAAGACCACCCGTGCACGTAGGAGTTGTTCAGCCTAGCTTTTCCGTGCTTCGCACCCATCCGGCCCGGCAACGTCGTGGGGCTGCCGTGCAGCACTAGTTTCTGCCACCGAATCAGACACTCCTCCGGAGGTGCGACTGGCTTGCGAGTTCAGGTCGCACCTACCGTGCACCCTGGAAACAGTCGGTTACGATGTGTGCACGATGTGCGGGACATGGCGGGTCAAGTGGTCTCTGTGCCGAACGGACAGCGTCATGACCGGTCTTTGAGTCATCCAGACATCCGGCTGCGCAGCACACCGAAGGAAGCTTCGCCTTCCCCAGGGCGAAGGTTTCAAAGCCGGAAGCATGCAAACATATGCAAGCCGGATACCTTCAGCTCGTACCTTCAGGCACAGCTTGCTACGCGGAACCGGGGCATGTCGTGATTGTTTTCCTGCTTCTTGACAAGGTCCCTAAGTAGACCGGTCGCCCACCGCAAGCAGATTGGCAACACAGCTAGCTCTCCCGTGTTAGCATATGTCAGCAAAGTATGCCACGACACTTCGCGACCGCGCAGCTGGGGCATGGATACACGGCGACACGTCTCACGAGCTGCTCAAGCCGCGTGCACCTTCGAAACGTCTGGGGCTCACAGGGGCAGCGCCGTCGCTGTGTGTCTCTCTCTGTGTGTTTGTTTGTGTGTGTGTGTGTTTGTTTGTTTGTCTGTTGTTTGTTTGTCTGTTTGTTTGTTCGTTCGTTCGTTTGTTCGTTTGTTCGTGTGTGCGTGTGTGTGTGTGTGTGCATGCTTGTGTATGAGAAGCAACCTGCGCCGCTAATGGAGCTCAAGTGCGCAAGAAAGCAAACCAATAACGCATCGGTGGTGAGGAGTCCTTTGTGGAGCAGAGCCATATCGGCATGAAAATCCAGGTGCGAGTGCTGGAGGTAAACCTCGAGCAGAAGCAGCTGTACCTCAGCATGTCCCGTGGCACCCGAAGCAGAGGTTTCGGTCGCAGGCGTTGCCGGATGTGGAAGTGCCAGCAAACGAAGCTGAGATCTTCATACTTATGCATGCATGCATGGGTGCCTGTATGACCTGAACGATGTAAGCAGTCTTAGTGTTCGTCTTCGTGTGCATGCAAACGACTCAGAAGCATGCATGCAAGTACATGCATAAGCACACACACACACGTGCATGCACCTAACACATTCAAACACACATAAGTTCAATCATGTACATATATGCATGCATTCATATGCTGCCGCCCACCACTAACATTTAAATACTGGTTTGAGCACCAGGATTTGAAGGCCGGTGGAAAATCTATGGCAACTTTTGCACCAGAAATAAAAGTGACAAAGTTTAGCACCAGAAAAAGCACCATCGCGAGCACAAAATTTAGCAACGAAGCACAACCATGAGCACAAATGTAGCACCAGAAGCAGCAGGTTCGGTCCTTGAACAACCGTTTACGGTCGGTATGTACACAAGAAAACGACGTATGGTGCATCGACCGGCAGCATCCACTAGACGTACGAATAAACGAAAATGCCTCAGAGATAAACATACTCAAGGCTGTCGCATCGCACAAGAACGGCTCGAACTCCAGAATTGGTGGATGGCGCATTCCGGATTGACGCAATGATGCAAGCATCCACTTGAAATACAACCAGGTGTGGCCGTTCGAGGACAAGCAGGCATCGAACATTAATCGGACTGAGGACAATGTGGTCGAGACCCTGACCCAAACGGTCACGAACTTCAATAAGCAGTTGCTGCATGTGGGCTTGGTGTTGCACCAGCTGTCCTACCAGTTGCCAATTGCGTAAGCATGGACAAATCCTGCACCGCTACGGGTGCAATGACCGAACTTCAGAATCGGCACCGGCAACAGCAGCAGCAGCGGCAGCAGCACCACTAGACGGAGGTGGGGGCTGGGGAAGCTGCACGGGGCCAGGTAGTGCAAGCAATCGGTTCGTTCGAAGCAGCAGGGTGTTCTGCTGACGCCGGTGGCAACGCAGGAACAGGATCGGCAACTGCAGCCGAAGGCGATCTCGACGGAGTTGCAGTCGCATCCACCGGATGAGCAGCAGCGTTGGCCGAAGCAGACGACGAAACAAAGCCAACGAACGAACAGCTGAGCTACAGTCACGATTCTGGTCGTCAGCAGTCAAAACCAACGGCACAGTGAACTCCGCGCCGACTTGACGCTGGGGCATGCATCCAAAGAGGCATATGTCCGCGATAAGAAATGCGGGAGCAAAAACTCACGGGTAGCTTGCTCTTCCCGATGAAAATACAGTTTCATTTGCGCCACATGAAACAAGACACGACACCTACCTCGACCACCTCTGTTGCCTGAGCTTGCAGCACCAGATTCAGGAATGCGCAACCAAACACCCCAAGATGTGGGCCCTTCCATGCGCAAGTTCGGAATGCCAAAGTTGTCAAAGTCGTGCGCTTCAATCATAGAGTGCAGTTGACGAACATATTGATCTCGCGAAATGCACACAAGTCTGGTGAAGTGAGTCAGTTGTGGTGCAACGTCGTCTGTGGTAGAAACGTGCGAGATGATACATGGCGCGAACAAGCATGCTCATGTAAGCACGAAGCCACCAGTTCACACTCAGATGATCCCCCGCCCGACCCGTTGCGATCCACGGGATGACGTCCGAGTTGGCCCCAGAGGACCGCCGGCTGCAGGGTTCACAAAGATGCGAGGACATTGCGACGCAAATGCAAGGGTGTCACCGGCAACACGGGATTATTGAGAACCGAACGCGTAGGCGGACGCATGGGGCTCAGGACTGGATGATCATCATCCTGCTCGGCATGAAGGGGGATGGCATGCTGCAAGCCACCCGAATTCCTACAATGCACTGCCGCAGCATCCAAATCGGAAGCCATTCTATACCCACCAAAAACCTCAACAAGAAATCCTGTAACTGGCTGGTTATATGGCCGTCACGCGCAACCACGCCGAGCAAAATCAAGCCCATAGGCCTTGATTTGTAATTACTTCAAAAAAGCGCAATCATGAGCACAAAATTTAGCACCAGATCATGAGCACCAAATTTGCCACCAGAAAGCACAATTATGAGCACAAAATTTAGCACCAGAAAATTGCGGCTTTGCTGTTTTTTTGTCGTGCGTTCGTTTGTGGTGACTGTTACTAGGACCAGCGACATTCAATTACATATCACATTTGACATACATACATACCGTGACATACAGTATGGTGGTGTGCAGCCGTAACTGTTTGTATATGCTCACATAGACTGACAGATGCAAGAGAGAGGTGGTAGGTTCCCAATTAGATAGATGCGTAGATAGATAGATAGAGAGAGAGAGATATATCTATATCTATATATATATATGCATATAGATAGATCGATAGATAGATAGACAGATAGATTCACCTATGGAATCTAGCCTGGTTGCATGTGTCGTTGAGTGGTTGAGTGTTTACGCTTGAGCTTGTATCCCTCGTGATGTTCACCCCATGTGTGTGTATGTATGTATGTATGTATGTATGTATGTATGTATGTATGTATTAATGTAATGTAATGTAGTGTAATGTAATGCAATGCAATTGTAGTGTGCTGTAAGGTTATGGTACGGTAGGGCCAGGGTAGGGTTGGCCGGGTGGGTTAGGGTAGGGTATGGTACGGCATTGTATTGTATTGTATTGCATTGTATTGTATGTATGTCTGCATGCATGTATGTATATCTGGGCCCTGCGGGTTTTCAGGCTGGCTGTCTTCAGATGCCTTCCACGTGGGTTTGACTTGTGGAGTTTGACTCGCTCTGGGGTTTCATATTTTAGATGATGTTGGCTTGCCATATCGATTGGCAGCCGCTGATGGTAACCAACGATGGTAACCAACAGCCAGGCGATTACGCTTCATCTATTGCATGTCGCGGCCGTGTCTACTGCAAGATCAACGTTTTGCACCAACTAGTGCAGTACAACTACCAGGACGATGGAGTCTGGCCCAAAGAATCACATGTGGTTGTGTGCATGTACGCAGCAGCCTGTAGGTGGGTATATTTGTGGGTGGAACTGCTCAGTAGGTCGAGTAGGTGCTTAGCAGGTCGTAGGATGCAAGCGTCTTCGGTCTTTCAGCCTGTGCACCTGTTCTGCCCGTGCATGTCGTGTTGTGTGCATGATGCTACATCTTGGGGGCATGCGATGCGTAGATGTTTTCATTCTTCAGTCTTCGGTGCACCATGAATCAAGGCTTGAGCCACAGGACGTCCCGACTGAGCAATGAGCTTTTGAGAAGGTCGCGGGCAGCGAAGCAATGCAACCACTGAACTCCAGACATCTCCAGACTCTGGCCTGCGTAGCGACGCACCACCGGCCACCCTTGTATGATTAATTATACTTCGATGGCGTCGCTTTGAGCTTGCAGCGTGCCAGGCTCTTGTTGATGTACAGTTGCTTTGCTTGGAGACGCAGCTAGCGATTTGTGGAGCATAGCACGCACGACAAAGCTTCGAAAGACGCCCTAGCCAATACGGAAAAGCGAGCTAAGAACTTGGCAGAGATGTTCATAAAGCGTCCAATCCCGTGTGGGATAGCAGACACCACTGCGTTGTGCTAGTTTGCTCAAGCCACGAACTAGCGCTAGCGTCCGCAACACGTCGTTCATTCAACCAACGCGACAAGCGCGCATCATGTGGACTCTTCGCAACCGAGTCTCTCGCCCGGCAGAGCCACTAGACGAAGCCACATGATGGGGCTCTGGGCACATAGCGGCTATCGCGAAACAAAAGCCGTTGTAATTAGTGTGGCACAGTTTCAGCTTCACCATGACGCACGCTGCCGAACTGTGCATCATCCATGGCCCGCTCAGGAAGCATAGCCATATCTTCGTGCGTCAATTAATCTGCTGCATCTAGAAGCCATGGTGGCCTTGTTGGATGGGAGGCGCTTCTGCGACGATCCGCTGTAACATCATCGTTCCGATTCTTCATGTTTAGCAGATCCTGGCGAGTAGTAGTCCTTCTGACGTGCTGTGCTGGGCTGCGACTGACCGTGATGGAGTGCGGAAGTGTTGCCTGGGAGTGCCGGCTTTCAAGCAAGCCTTTTTTGTTAGTTATAAGCTGTGTTCTGGTCTTGCCATGTTGGAAGTTGGGTTATGCTTCAGGATGCGCTCTCGCTCAGCCGGGAGCTCTCCAGGAGTTGCGAGCCAGACATGTTCACACTGGCCTTGTTCATCCACAAGCCTCCAGATGACTGGAGCAGCGTGCGGCGGTACGTAAAACATGGCGGCATTGTCATTGCAGGGCATTTTTCACACGCGGTTTACGCAAACATGTTCCAGACACATGTTCCGAAAGGGATCTGGCACGGAAGCTGCCAGTCAAGAGGCTTTCCGGAGCAACACAAGTTCAATGAAAGTGATCACTTATGGCGCACATTGACAGATCACAATGGTCACTCTGAGCCGACGGCATCAGCAGCAGGGTGTGGCCCGTCGACATACGAGTGTCTTGGATTGACGGTTCCACAGTTCTACGTTTGTACAGCGGAGAACGATTGCTAGCTTGCCCAAGCTTGGTAGGGGTGCATCGCAGCTTTGAGGATGGCCCTGCCGGTAAGGTTTCCAGGCGTCGTCGGCCTTGCTGGTTGGACGGCATCTTCCTACAGCTTGTCATATCGCCCCTTGGCAGTAGCTTCTGTCGCCATGTAGAGATGTTCACGCTTAGCCTGGCTCTCCGCCCGCCTGTCCTTTCAATTGCCCGACTGACAGATCGTGGAGCGGTGTTAGGGTTTCTGGGCCTTTATGCACAGCACATGCCGCCTAAAGCTCCGGAAGTGAGCGCTGCTTGCTCAGCCACAGCAATTTGTTGAGTACGGAGGGCGTGTTACAGCAGCCGTTTTTGGTTCCCTCGAACCATGTCTCTCTAGCTGGTGCCTGTAGCACGCACGGCACATCCGTGAAGCATCATACAAGGAATACTTGGCGCTGGCACCGTTTGGTTCGCGACGTGGGGCTGGGAGGTGTTCGCTGACCAGCGAACGAGGCAGGTCTTGAAGTATATGCTGCCTGGACCGATCTTGTCAGTGTATGCAAAGAGGATGCACGCATGAGTCAGACTGTGTCTTGTTCGGTGATATATCCATTATTGCACGTGGGAGAGGGGGCGATCTGCTTTGGTTCGTTTTCTTGACAGACGGCACTTAGGTTGAAACACAATCGTGCGCTAATGTCAGATGGAAACACCGCCTCCTTCGGTGTTTCCCTCGAAGCCCTCGATGTGACGCTAAGACGTAAAGGAGGATCGCCGTCGCCGTCGCCTTCGCCTTCACCTTCACCTTCACCTTCACCTTCACCACCACCGATCACAGTGACTGCCACAACAACGACAACAACCACCACAACATCGAGCTCCAGCACATCAAACTCGTCCACATCGACATCTTCCACCACTGCAACAACCACCTCAACCTTTTCGACGTCCAGCACATCCACCTCCAGCACATCCACCTCCAGCACATCCACCTCCAGCACATCGACGTCCAGCACATCCACATCCAGCACTTCCAGCTCCACCACGTCCACTCTCAGCACTTCCACTACCACCAGTTCCAGCACATCTACTTCCAGCACAACAACTTCTAGCACATCCACTTCGAGCACATCCACTTCGAGCACATCGAGCTCCAGCATGTCCACCTCCAGCACATCCACCTCCAGCACATCCACCTCCAGCACATCAAACTCGTCCACATCGACATCTTCCGCAACGGCAACAACCACTTCAACTTTTTCGACGTCCAGCACGTCGAGCACCAGCACCTCTACATCTACGACGTCGAGCTCCAGCATATCGAGCTCCAGCACCACAACAAGTTCTTCAGCATCCACCACGACTCGCTCGACCTCCACATACGCAGGCAGTGATCCCAATATTCTTTCGGGTGAAGCAACGAACAGGGAAGAACAAATGACTGCGCTTCAAGGAGCTGCGATAAACAGTCTGATGAGTGCAGCCAGTAATGTCAACCTTTCAAACGTAGAAGTGGTGGATGGAGTTGCCACACTACTGGAGGAAGAAGTTCAGACCGCACAAGGCATGACCTTGCTGACGAAAGCAATGGTAGTGTTAAATGCCAGCAGTGGCTTGCAGGCCACTGTAGGGCGTAGCCGAAGTACTTTGCGGGTGCCAGCAGCAACGCTCGAGCAGCTTAAGAACGGCAGCGCGCATCTTGCAGTAAGCTTTGGAGTCTTCCCCGATACCACGAACGAATACAAGTCCTTCGAGGCAGGCAGCGATGCTGTCCTGGTGGCCGGCGAGGTTATCAGCATTTTGATTACCGGTCCCGATGGCAAGATCTTCAAAGGACGCTTGCCCGAGCCGATAGATATCGAACTGAGTACGAAAGCCTTTCACCGACGAAACGCCTGCGTTTTCTGGGATGAGGATGCGGGTGATTGGTCAACATTCGGTCTGGAAAAGGTTGGTGTGACGAACCAATCTACGCAATGTCGCACGACGCATTTGTCTGTTTTCACTTTGATCCTCGCGACTTTGACTTGCAGCCAGGCTGCAAGGATCTTTTCTCAGGAAGCTTTGCTCGCTCTCGTGTCTACGCCTTGGGCCTGGCAGCCACCGGCTCTCGTCAACTGGGCAACTATCTTGGTGGGGTGCTGGTTGTTGCGACTAGCATACCGAGCTGATCAGCAGAACCAAGCCCAGATGAAAAGGCTGCAAACCTGGGCGAGAGAATGCCATGAACGGGCAGGCGTCTTACCAAACGTGGCGGCGTTCTTACGAATGCTCGGACAGTGCCGACAGCTTGGGCATCATGGTTTAAGGTCAGCCAAGTCGTTTATCTGTTCAACAGTCATCAACACCAAGTTGGGTGTCGACAACGCATATCTCGACAATCTGCACAGGAGTATCGGAAAGACGGATGTGCATCGACAAGCACACACAGAGGTGGAAAGCTTCCTTGGCTCGCCTAGGTATCGGCAATTCTCTATGCTTTTTGCGAGCTCCTGCAGGTGGGTATCTATCTTAGCTCCGTCGTGGCAGTTGGCGAGCATGGATCGCTGCCTTTTGTTGCTTGCCAAACTCTACAGCACCTGGGCTCTCTCGGCCATTTTCTTCGGCAGCACATCCGTGGCTCCAGACCAGGATCCCGACTGCGAACCGCAGGAAGGCTTCTGGCCTATGCTGGTCCAGAGCGTAACCGTCGCTGTGATTGCAGGCGTGTTCGGAGCTTTGCCTCTTGGCTGTCTGGTGCTTGTCCAGCAGGCGTGCCGGGTCCAGGTTTCAACAGCAAGAACCACTTTCCGCAGCTTCGTCTTTGCCTACACCTTCACCTGTTGGCTAACCACATGCCTCTTTCTTGCTGCTTGGAGTAACATAAACCGTGTCGCCTCAGGAAGGGGCTATCACCGGGGATGCCAGTCGGAGGGAGTTGAGGCACAGGTTGCGGGGATTGCAGCTTTGGGGTCTTGGCGGTTTAATTGGTCGTTGGATTAATGAGGGTAACGATACATCAACATCGGTTAACCGTCTTGAATGATGATGGCTTTTCGGATCGAGTTTGAGCCTTGCGGTGCATCTGGCCTACTTCTCTCGAAATGCACGGTCTGTTCGGGATTGGGCGTGTTTGGGCGAGGAGGGTGATGTGGGCTCATTTCGTTCTCTCATCCGGCGCAGCAGCGATGTTTCACTTTGGGTCGCCGTGGGCTTGAGTTCCCAGACCTGGGGCCCCCCCCGAGCTACTAGTAGGCCAGAAACTTGGAGCACTCGCTGCAGGCAAGGCCCGGGAGCCTGAGCTAGTGCGTCCGGTCTAGCGAGTGTAGTGCTGGTTCCGTCCTTCCAGTAGGGCGATGGTTTGCCCCGAATCCACCACCCGAAAACAAAGGAGATCCTGAAACTTGATGACTGGTGAACTGCTGTGACTTGAGCATGCTGCACCTGAGGCAGTGGTGAGCTCGACCGATGCCGAGAGATGGGTGATTAGTGCAGTGGTGGACGTTTGTAAGTCGGCCGTGATGATTCCCTTTCTTTTGGCCTCCATATGCGTGCTTTTCTTGGTTTGTCAAGATGCTGAGATCCACATGAGTTGGACGCAGCATCTGAAGAGATTGAGCGAGAAGGCAACGGCGAAGGTATGCCTGCAGTCGCTGGACTTCAAGAAAGACGAGCTCTTGCACTTGGGCTTCGAGCGTGTCTGCTCTGTGAAGGTCAAATTCACCGGCCATGACCGGCCCGCGGTGGACTTCGAGCCAGGCTTGCTGTTGGAGGAGGTGAATGACGGGCAAACGCTTCTCATGACGGCATTTGCAGAGAAATCCGATAAGAAAGACCCACAGCTGATGGGAACTGCCACCCTGAAAGTCGGGTCAGCGTCAAAGTTGGCATTCAAGCGCCATGGCAAGCCATTGGATCTCTCAGCGGAGGTGGCTTTGACAGTAATTCGTGAGTCGGAGGGCCCCACTTGGCACACCCTGCCGCCGACGAGCAGCGATATATCGCTGGATGAGCCCCCTTTGACTCCGAGGGAAGGGGGGGTTCTAAGATCGGCGACTGAACCTGAAGCACCGGAGGCACCATGCAGCCTCGGAGGCTGCGGCCAGAACTTGCACGAAAGCGCAGGCTTGAACGATAGTACACGACACGACACGCCAACAGTGCAGCCCGTGCCACAGACGCCGCAGCTGCACGGCAACACAGCCTCGGACGAGAATACGGGTCAAGGCACAGTCCAGCCCTTGCCGAAACTAAAAGTGCCTGTGCACATGTCGGCAAGGACAAACGAGAGCCCCGTGAGTGTCGCCAGGCAAGACAAGGCCGAGTCGGCACCAGATGCCCCAGCTCTCTCACGAGAGTTCACGGATGCATCCCAATGCCCCGGCCAAAGCGGACCTGTCCAGCCGGTCCAGCTCAGTGCCACCGCCCAAGACCAAGAGCCTCGGGTTGCATCCTCGCTGGCTACGAGCGAAATGATGGTGCCTTGTCCTCAGCCTGCCAGTTCACCGAGACCACTGGGGCAAAGTCCCCGGACTCGCGCATTTATAGGCCCCAAGGCATCACCTAGAACCGTGCAGGCTCCACGACCACAGGCCGCTCCCTAGAGCCTCATCACTGCTGGGAAGTCGAGCGGTCCGAAACATCCGAGGCTTTCCGCACGTTGCATGTGTGCAAACTGTGTGCCACTTTGTATTTTTGAGCTTTTTCATGAGCCTGGCTCCATTTGTGTCCTGCCACAAAATCCCAGAGCTGTGCATATGCCTCAGCCGATGAGGGCAAGCCAAAGGGCTGTGTGATCCGCAAGCGACTCCCGCAGCCTTCTGCGGGCTTTAGAAGGCGAGAGACTATAATAGAGCGCCTATAATTCTCGGAATTCCAGACCAGTGCTGCGGCTGCGGCGGTTGCAGTCCGTTCGTTCTTTGTCAGCATTCCTGCGAAGCAAGGAGAGATTATTACCATATGCCGAGAACGCGGAAGCAAAAATCCTGCAGGAGGCAGTTGCCGTGAGCAAGAGAAGGCAGAAGAGAGAGAGAGAGAGGGAGGGAGAGCCTGCCCCTAACCCTGACGAAAGAAAGGGAGACTGTTCTACTGCTGCTCCTGCTCTATGCCACTCAGGAAGTTGCTTGTTCTATGAGTGTTGGGGCCTTCGTCGTCGGTTCGTGTAGGACCTCTTCACTTGCATGTTTTCATCAGTCGCAGTGGTCGAGGACTTACCGGAGCGCACAGGTCTGTCTAGTTTTGTTGTGGTTACTTGTTGTGCATCTTGTCGGTTTTGGCTTGGGCAAGGACATCCCAGAAGGATACTCCGTTTCTCGCTTCTGCGACCACTGTCTGTGTTGGTATTACATCCAATTTGTGAGTCCCTAGTGCTCTCCACGTCTGTCCACCGCTGCCAGGTCCAGGGTGTGGAACTTCCCCCTGCCACGCGGGGGGCAAGAACCTCAAGGTCTCGTCTGAACCACCGAAGGCAACGATAAACCCAAAAAATACAGCAAGATGTACAGGTTGCACGACCCGTCCAAGCTTACGTTTAGATAAGGGAGGTTAAGACCTACCACATCCCATTTTTTAAACACGAGCGAGAGTACGTCAGATCAGTTCAATGAGTGCAGCGGCAGATGCTTCTCGGAACAGCGGGCATGACCGGACAAGGTTGTGTTAGGCCTGTGTTCATTCGTCCATGTGATGTCCTAGTCCAAAGCCTCACGACGTTCAGCAATTGTGAGCGAGAGCGAGAAGACAAATTGCAGCCGTTCAGCTCACAGAAACAGGCTTTTGGATAACTTTGGCTTGTGCAAACCACAGGGAAACCAGCTGCAACGGAATATGGCCAGCGTTAGATCAAACAAGCGAGGGGAAATGTGGCGCTTTCAACCCATGGCCCTGCGCTGTTGGATTTTTGTCAACTTCTTCGCACGTCTGGACAGCAAGCCCGTTGCCGTCGTTTATGAAGCGTGGCACGGCTTGCAAACAAGTCTTGCGGGCACGCACTCGCGAAGCATTGGCAGGTACGTCCCGAAAGTGCGTGGCAGATCTCCTGAAGCATTGTTTCAGGTCCGCCGCGTATTTGGCAGATCTGGCACACAGCGCGTCAGGTTCAAAGGCTGGGCTGCTTGAACACGACAGGAAAGAGTTGGAGAAGCTGCATGTAGCGTGTTGAAGCACTTGTTGATGCTGCTGTGGGAGTTTGCTGTTGAATTTTTCTTTTGCAGGTGGAGTTCTGGCCATGCACGGCATCTTGCAACCCTCCCTTCGGCCGAAGGCATGTCGCGTCCCTCATTCGGCACCTGCTTGCTGTTCAAGTTAATGAACTTCGGCTGCCCTGAGGGACGATGTGATTGCGGCTGTGGGTATGCCGCGGAACTTCTCGAACTTGCAAGACTTCCCGAACTTGAAGCTAATCCAGAGCACATCCTACATGCACCTGGGACGTGGTGTAAAGCGACACGAAGCACTTGACTTGTAAGATTTTCAGGTATCCGCGTTTGTCAGCGATGCCAGCTGGTCCAGTTGTCGCCAAATACGACGTGGCTTTGCTGCGTTTCGAGTGGTCTGCTTCACTTCCCGTTTGATCGGCTGGCCGAGCACAGGATTTGGCAAAGAGGTCGGGGCACCTTAAGCATGTCGAGCAATCACCAACTTGAGCATGTCGAGCAATCACCAACTTGAAGAACAATTGTTGAAGGCATGGCTTCATCACCTTTCAACCTGCGGCGTGGACACACATGTTGGTGAGATAGTAAGCTCAACGCCGAAAGCTGGTTTTCCTTAGCCTGCACCATCGAATAAAGCAGACTCGTCTTGTGCCCAAGTCGAATCCTTGCAACCGTTGTAGCTCTGCTTCTTCCGTAACTTTTCAAGAATGAGCTCTTCTCACGGACAAGTCCCTGAAACGTGTAGCTACAACTTGGTATGCCTTGCACCTTGTGTGGAAATTAGCGTCTTTAGAACCGCGAGGTTTGACGGGAACCGTTGAACGAAGCAGGCCTCTGAACACAACGAAGTTGCAAAGATTGACTTGCGATTTTGCAAGTAGTTGAAATTTGAGCTGGTGCTTGCAATCAGCCTGGACAGACTCGCGAATCGGTCGAGGCGCAGACCAAGCTAACGAGCCGTGACATCGGCTTTTCTTCGGGTTTGACATGCATCCATGAAACCTGACGGCCTCAACTCGGCGACCTCTTGAAACGTTCTTTTGGTCAACTGGTGGAATTTTCGTGATGTCGTCGTGCCGTGTGAAATTTTCAGTGTGCTGGAACCACTGCCCCCCCCCCCGGCTGCTGGTGGCGTGGCATGACTTGTGTGCTGGTTTTATTTCTTTGTCTTCGTTGAGACAACTGACTAGTTACAAGTACCAGTTACTAGTTTTGTTAGGCTACAGCCCACGCAGCATATTGCGAGCGTGTGCTAGGCCCCATGGAAAGCCTATGGGGTGGAACCCATCGCCGAATTTGTCATCGCAGCTGCGTTCCAATGGAAACATGGACCGGACTGACGTTCAGCATTTGCACAAGTTGTTCTGCGGCAGTGCAGTAGAGAGAGTTAAGTGGAGACGATGGGTTTGCTGAGGACATACAAGCTCGTCGAAGTCTCTTCTAGATTCGCCGCTTGTGGCTTTGGTCCAGGGGCACCCGGTGGTTGTGCTCCGGACAGCGTGCTGACTTCCCATCCGACGTTAATGAGCAAGTCGACGCTCGTGAGCAATTTTCTTCCGATGGCACCGTGGGGTGAGTCGACATGCTGAGAAAGGATAAGGGACGTGTTCGTATGCATACTCAGTGACGGAGGATTGGCATCATTGGCTACGGCACGATTGGTGAGGCACCCGGCGCTTGTGGTCGTTCGGTGCTTGTTTTCGTCCACGTGTCTTTTGACAGGCTGTGGCCAGACGAGCATTTGCCTTAGGCCCGGTGCGCTCAGCTGAAGCTGAATGAAAGCTGTCTTGTCAGGTCTCTGCTCTATGAAGTTCTATGCCTATGCTGTAGGACCGTAGGATGCTCAGACATGTACGACTTGAAGAATTGGTGGCGATGTGGAGGTATGCGCGTGTTAGCATCGCGACGGCACGGTCCTTTTTCGTCTTGGGCTCAGGCGATGCAGGCATGCAGCATGGCTTGCAAGTTGATTGCGCGCCTCTGCGCACAAAGCATATCGTGCGTCTTCGCGCGTGATTCATGGTGCTTCATGTGTTTCTGTTCGCGACAGTGAGTTGGTTTTACTCACCGACTGGGTCCCTGCCATGAGAAGGGTGCATGATGGAGGTCGGGGAGGACAACAATCTGCTGTTTTTGCACGCCGTTGTCGAGAAGTCTCAGCTGAGTGCGACACGTGCAAGCTGAAGAGTAGGCTCGCTACTAGCATCCACATGTTGGGCGGTTTACAGTCAGGGCCTGGTTTCGGGCAGTGTTTCGCAGGAATCACAGCCAAAGAGGCAGCTCCTAAGCGTGGTGCTTGCATCTTCCGTCGGATACCACGGCGTCTGCATCGATGTGGTCGTGCGCTTTCAATTTACCTTGTGGTGCTTGGCACCTGTCGCCTCGCTTCGAGTCTGGCCCAGACAACGAGCGAGCATGATCGATACATGTCCTGGCGTGCTGCTTATGCGGTCGTTGCGACGACTACGACTGCTCTTCCCGGCTTGTGAGTCGGCTTGTGAGTGGTCTTGCGACCCGGTAGTGCCATGCATCAGGTTGCACTTGAATTCGACGTTGCAGGTGTCTCGTGAGCACTGCAATATGGCTGTTTTGAGTTTGGGTGCTGGTGGCACTCCAACTGCGAGGTCTTGGCTGATCAGCGACAATGACAAGGTGCTGGCAGAGTGCGATTTCATTGCAGTGACTGTTCCAGGTCGGCCGCGTGCTTCTTTCGGAGAATTGTGAATATCAAAGTATATTTATCTGGTTTTATATGTAGATTTCAAAATGAATGCGGGCAGGATGCCGGGGCGCTGATGTCATAGTTGCAGTTTGTGGAAGTCCACATGATCGCAGCTGATTTGGCCAGTTCTGTGTTTTTGCTGGAAACTCTGCCCGAGAGGCTCTGTCGTGGGGCTGATCAACAAGACGGCATTAGCACTGATGAAGCCTGGTGCAGTGCTGATCCCCGTGTCTGCAAATCCCGTGGATTTCGATGCGCTGTACCATGCCGCTTGTTGCGCACGTTTCAGTTTACATTGTTTCAGCAACGCTTTCAAGCAGCGGCAAATTTCCGGTGCGAAGGCGTTGTGAAGCAGAGAAGAGTGTACTGGTCCTCGCAAACAGAGACTGCAACGATGGGCGACGATGTGATGATGCCATGATCGTTTGCTCATTCTTTGGCCCACTGCAGAGTTGCTGCAGCAGCTCCTCTAGCTCAGCCAGAAAGCAAGCAAGCGACTGATGGCGAATGAGTCCAGCAGACAACCGAGATGGCTGGTTTGTCCCCGATCGTGTGGCAATACCCCCGGCAACAGGCACTTCCTATTCCAGGACGTGCCGGCGTGATTTAAGACAAGATGCTTTTAGGCGTTCATTGACATGCCGACTATTGAAGACTCAGTCCGAAGCTCCAAAACCCAGGCCAGACTAACTCGAAGGCGCCTTCTTGCCGTCCTCATCCTTCCGGCCATAATGCTGCAACCTCGCCTGTGGTCGTGGATCCTAGCCATGCGAGAGGGGAAAACATGCGCACTTCAGACACCAGCTGCTTTCACCCGCTTGTCAACAACAGGGAATTTGACATCATTCGAGGATACCCATCAGAAAACCACATAAGATGGCAGAAGATGAATCGAGTTCCTAGCGTGCCGTTTCTCGTGGACACCCAGGCTTTGCTTACGGGCTCGATCGGCGGGGCCGTCCTTGACGTATGGCCTCAAGGTGGGACGCCTGTGGAGTCTGAATGGTTTTAGGACGCAAACTTGCTAGGCTGCTGGCATTACCCAGACTCATTTTGCGGGCCTCCCTACGGGCACGAGGCCAGACGCTTCTGCAAATCAAAGGTTGCAGCAGCCTCTCTCGTTCCTGCGAGGCACAGCCTTACTTGCAGTCGCATCTGGCGCAGCTTGACAACGTCCTCGTGTTGCCAGGCGTGTTGTGTTGTGTGCATGCGCTAGAATCGGGCAATGCCAACCAATAAGACGAGGGACTGGAAATCAGGAAGACTCGCATGCATCGACCGGCAAGACCAGGTTTTCAGAACTACGGCCTGAGCGAGACATTGAGTCGTCGGGAGGTCCTCGTCGGTTTACTTTGGATGGAAAAAGGGATGGAGGTGCACAAACTTCGCCTTCTTGTCGATGTGCTCAAAACATTCGAGAGGTGTGACACGACCGGTCTCCTAAACCGCGGACCTGCCACCCAAGCGATCTCCCCTGCCCCGATACCAGAGGTCGTGGCGACATGTGACGTTCGTCTCGTCCTGTGGCATGTCGGCGCACAGCACCATCGACTGGTCGACGGCATTCGTGTGGTGCAGTTCATGACACAACTCGTCGCCCACTCTCCAGGGCAGTGGGGTGAGCAGATCTCGAAACCCTGGGGCGCTAGGGATGTTTGCATGCACACCGCGAGGCACTAATTGGTTGTCTGGGTTGAGTTGATGTCAGGTCACGTATCATAGACGTTCTGCCTGCCGAGGAGAAGATGTAAGTCCAATTAAGCCTCTTTAAGCCCTTCAATTCTGCATCATGTTGACTGATGCACGATACCTTGCCAAAGGCCCGGACGATGGAGTCACGAAACCTCCGCTTGCATGCTGCTGTTGCTTCGGTACCACATCTTCTGGCATCATCTGTCAGGCGTCGCCATGCGGGACACCAAATTTTGGTCCAACAGCGCTGCATGGGTTAGCGACAACCTGGCGGCTGAATCTGAATAAAAGCACGCGACAGCCGACAGGATCCGACAGGTACTGACGGGTGGGGGGTTCCGACTAGGGCATCCAAAAAATTGGACTTGGGATTCTGACTCTTGCAGAGTGGGTCACACTCAGGCAGTCTATGCACTAAGGTGGCGCTCATCGATGGCTTGCCGGTCAAAGGTGTGGTCCGGAATGCCACATTCGAGACCAAAACGCAGGCTGTCGCTTTGCAGTTCGTTCTTTCCATGGTGATGCATGTTGGAAATGACGGCGTGTCGGCAACCCGTGTCTTACGTTCCTGATGGCAGGCTGAGGAGCCGCCACGTCTGATGCAGCTGGTGTGACAAGCAGACTCCAGCCCGGAGCTTCGATTTGCTGGCACAGCATGCGCCGAAAAGCAGGCAGGTTGCGGGCAGTTTGGACGGCTGGGCAACTGTCTTCGATGCCACTCGTGACGGTTTGTGTTGCTGCAAGAAAAGTAAAAGCGGGCCCAGTTCTTCCTCGACTGGAGCCCCTCAACAGCCATGACTGCCACTCGTGCTTCTGAGGATAGTGGGCATGTCCGTAGTCTTGAGAACATGTGATGTCACGAGCAACGTGTCGACGTTGAGCTCGACACGAAAGTCGTGTTACACCTTGCCAGAGGCTACTGCAAGGCCGTGTGCGCAAATCGTAGGTCGTTTTTCACAAGACGGTGGCTGATCACGTTTGCTTGGCGATTCCCGCCTCATGGCAGCGGTCGGGCCAGTTTTCGTCGTCACGAAGGATGGCACCGAGATCAAGGGGAGCCCCAGCTGCAGTGTAAGGTTGGTTCAATGCTCGATGCCTGTCGTGACAGCAGTCTGGTTTGAGGGTCTCCTGAAAGCACTCCCCATCCCTCCCGTCAAGAGACCCCTACCCATCTCATTTTTGGTCTGTCGATGTATCTTCGCCACCGCACAGCTGCGCCGAGACGAAGCCATAGCAACGCCATGCAACGCCCCAGCTCAACAGTGGCATTGCCCTCACCCAAACTTGCCCGAACCATACCTGTGCCTAAGCCATCCGAAGCCTCAATGAGCCATGGCGCCTGCGGAAGATCTGCAGTTGCCGGGGCCGGAGCCGGTGCCGTGGTTGCCTTTGGAAGCGCTTCAGCTCTGCGATTTTCACATGAATTCATGATTTGTGCTCTTGTCTAGAAGGTGCAAACCCTGACTGGGCACGAGTCCGGGGTCCTTGCCCTGCCGCTGGAAAGAATCAGCATGGCTTTCGGCACTGGAGAAAGCCTGTATTGAACACTGTATTGTGCTCCAAATTGCTGATTCCAAGGACTTGGACGCAAAATGGACAATACATAATGACTGCATCACAGGACCGGTTGGCATTTTGTGCATTTGCTGGCCTCTGCTCGCCTCCCTGCGATCTGCAAGGACAAGTCCGTGAGGCTCTGGAATCCCCACAGTGGCAAGCACATTAAGAAGTTTGCTGGTTGCCACAATCAGGAAGTCAATGACATTCGGAGCCTCGTCGTAATTGATACTCTCCAAGGGCTTCAGACTTCGCTGATGCAAATGTTTCGTGTTTGGTCAAGGATAGCGGCAGACAACAGCAAGTTTGTCTCCTGCGGCTCCGACAAGTTGATCTTCCTCTGGGATGTAACTTCCGCGCAAGTGATCCGCAAGCTGACTGGTCACGACCGGAAGGTGAATGCACTTGCATTCGGACCAAAGGAGGATGTGCTGTTAAGTGCCTCTCACGATAAGACGGTGAAGATATGGGACATGCGTACACGGTCGCGGGCACCAATCCAGACACTGAGCGACGCTGTGGATTCCATTCTTTGCCTGATAACGCACAAAGATGTCTCCTGGCAGCTGTAGTTGCTTTCGTTCGCCTTTCTCGTAAGCTGAGTCTGTTTCTGGTGACTTCCATGAATGAGTTTAACCTTGCAATGCGGAGGCAATCATAAGTGGCAGTGTGGATGGAGGTCTTCGACACTATGACCTGCGCAAAGGGCAGCTGGTAACGGACCGCAGGGCAAGCCGTCAGTTTGCAGCGCGGTCGGTAATGGATTTGATTAGTGTCGAGCTCGTGCTGCACCATACATTTGTCAGTTTCCTCAGTCATGCAGATGCCTGTTGGTAGGACCAGCTGTTGCAACCGATCGGCAGCATTTCGGTGTCGGAAGATGGCCAGTGCCTGTTGGTCTCCACGCTGGACTGGCCTGGGTTCAAACAAGGGCTGAGGCTTGGCATAGCCGTCGAAGGCGTGCTGACCTAGCTTCTCTCTTGTGGGCATTGATCTCAGCTATGCGAGAGGGAAAAGTGCGTGCTGACGACTCGCTTGAACGTCTGCAGGACAGCAATATTCGTCTTCTGGAGCGTGAGGCTGGTACGGGAATACAGTCTGCCGCGATGCCAGGGTTCCTGATGACGGTCGAATGATTCGGTCTTTTCTATGCAGGTCACTCGTGAGTCGCTTTTCGAAGTTCCGTTTCCACCTGCAGAGGACGGGTCGGGGCTCGCCACTTACAGCGGACACAGCAACCGGATCCTTGTCGGAGTTCAGACGACTCTCTGCGGAGCACATTTCCGAAAGCACCGACCGGCCAAAGTAACTGGCTTCTGTGTACTGGATGGCACTCTGTTTGTGCTTTATGTCTTGCAGTCAAGTCGAAGCTTTTGACAGCGGCAGTCGCTGAAGGTTTGCATTCGGTCGCCTTAGCCCGACCGTTGAAATGGCCCGGTGTATGGCGGCATTCTTGAGATCTACAGTATAGACTCTTGCCGTGCACCCGTGCCGAGGCGTGTGAAGGTGCGCAGTTCCCTGGATCCGTCGGACTCCTTCGTTGCCAGTGGCTCGGAGGCCGGGACAGGCCGAGACTGCTCTCAAGCGCCCTTCAACGGACGCTGGCGAGGATGGCACTCTCCACTTCTGGGAGCTGGTGGAAGCAACGCCCTTGCATCGGACCAAGTCGCACGAGGCCTGCGCGTCTGACGCTGTCGCCACTGGTCACGTCTCTCGACGATCTGGCACCGAGAGCCGAGAGTTCTTGAGGCTGCCCTGCTCTGCCTCGCATTCCACGAAGATACCCTGGCCGCTTGTCTCTCGTCAAGTGCTGCGAGTGAGATTCCGAATCAAAGCGACGGAGTCCCCCATCTGCAGGTGACCGCAGCCGCGGACGGCGTCATCAAAGTTTGGATGCTCGGCTGCAAAGCCACGGCACGAATAATTGACTGAAGCAATTGACAAAGCAGACTGCTTTGGCGTGCTATTCTGTTTCCATTGCTCAGATGCTCATTGCACCTGTTGCCAGGCGACCACAAAGGTCATGCTGAGCCCGGTCATATTGAGGATTGCAGGTGCAGCACCAAAAGGCAGCGAGCCTTCAAAGCTTTGAGGATGGCGTGCTTTTGCAACACCCTGGGACCAGTTGTTTATCTGCCAACTTGGAGCCACTGCAGAGACGGAAGAAAAAGCGTGTCGGCGGATCGTGCGAAATTCCTTGTCGGACAAACACAGTCGTAGCAGCAGTCGGCAAGATGCGAAAGTGAGTCCCACAAGTTGAAGAACTCTGAGGAGACAACGCCTGCAGAACACTGCGGCCTTTGACTCGATGCTTGCAGAGCCTCAACTGTTAATTTGTTGGTGGCTCTCCTCCTGCACCACAGTCTTTTCAGCTGCTGGTCAGTGACACGGAGCCGAACCTCACGGAACTCGATGTTCGAAGCTCGAACATTTCTAAGGATTTGACGACTCGGATGGAGAGCCCTGGCAGAGTGGGCACTCCAAGTCAAGTCGAAAGAGAGAGAGAGAGAGAGAGAGAGAGTTTGGCTGCCCCCGCCGCCTCGCTAGTGTCAAAGGAGGGGAAAGTCGAGCTGCAGCCAACTTGTCAACATCCTGCCACCAGCAGAGGGGGAAAATACCCTTCAGCTTTGGCCCGGCCCTTGGAGTGACATGCAGTAGTGCTAATTGCTACTTCGTTTGTGCAGTGCCGAGCCTTGAAGTGCAGTCTGCGAGATGGGGGGGGGGGACGTTCTTTACATGTGTTATAGTGACTCGCTGTTGAAAATACTCCTCTTGCAGACTCGGCGGGGAAGTCTTTCTCTGCACAGCCAAGCCCCCTGGGGAAAATCCCCCGGGGGAAACCATGTGAGAACTGGACGTACCTAGTCTCTCCAGCCTGGTAGAGAGAGAGAGAGAGAGAGTTTGGCTGTGTCGAGGGGCAACCCTCGGCCGTAGCCCTGGTGAAAGAAAGAGAGCGAGCTCCTGCCGGCAAAGGCCAGGAACTCTTTTGAGGCTGAGGGGTCCTTTGGCGACTCGAGGGTCCACGAAGCGGCCTGCTGATTTCACCGAGTGCAATGTAAGGAAGCATTTCCAATCCAACCCCGAGTTCGTCATAGCCGATTTGGACGTTTCGCAGAACAAGCTCACACTCGATCAGCTGCCAGCTGAGACAGTTTAGGAACTTTGTAGCACCTCTGCTTGATTTGTATCTGCAGTGGTCGAGGTTTCAGTCTCTTTTCCTCCTCCTGGGCACTGCGGGTGTGCGAGTATTGCGCTTCCGTATGTTTGGTTGTGCGACGCTGACCGATGAAGCGCTGAAAGTGATAAGCGACTTGGTCCCTCAAAAAGTAAGAGAAAGGAGCTGATGCTCCTGGCACGTTGCCTTCATGTGGCCTGTAGGCCGGGCTGAGGTGACTATCTCCGCGGCCTGGGCGCTGACTGGGCTCCAAGCGAAATGCATTTATCAGATTGCTTCTAGGCTGAGCCAGTACACATGCATGCTTGCTTTCCCGGATTCCGTGAACGACCTATGCTCCGTGGAGCATGATGAGATCGCCGCTCTTCATTCTTAATTAAATCGGCTATATCCTAAGTAGAGACTGTGCCTTCATAAGGTGCTATCACTGCAGAGGGTTTTGGAGAATTCTGCAGAGCCCTGGAGGACTCTTGGTTATGCAGCAGAGCATGTGGCGTGCATGCAGCCATGTGTGGCGCGTAGAGTGCGTGCATGCTATCAATCGTGAGCTGTTTAGGAAACCAATCTGTTCCCTCGACCCGTGGCTCCATCCGCAACGACGGGCTACCCGCTTTATCTGCGGATGGAGAACAACTACATCGACGAGGCAGTGCTTGCAAATGGTAACCATTGTTTCCTCGTCAGTGCATGCACACTGACGATGAAGAGGCGGTCATACGAGAGAAGGCATCCAGCCTGCAGCAAGAGGGCGCAAGGAAGCAGGACATGGGGACTTGGTACAGAAGGTGTGCTGAGCCTGCTAAGCGGTGGGCGCATACACCAGATACCCTGAACTGGAGAATTCGATCCGTTCCTGAGTTTTCGAAAACTCTCACGAGAGATGGATTGACTACGCATGGCCTTCCGCGAAATCCTCCTGTTGGTCATGCCGCTTATCCACGCTTTTGCAAGCTTCAGTGCATCAGGTTGATGCTGGCCTCATACAGCCGTTTACCAAGGCTGGAGCAGCTGACTAGGTGACGATGTGAGCAGGGAGCAAACAGGTGTGACAGGATGTGTTGGGCTGATCGAGTCCTTCGGTTTTCCCGTAGCAGCCTCAAGATTTTGCGGATGCCCGTACCCGGTGCTTCAGCTCTGTTCGTCAATATTTCGGTTTCGGCATCCCTGGTAAGACGTCCGCCAATGCCTGCTAGGTTGGAGGTGCCCGGACTGGGCCCATCCAGGGGCCGAAAGTGAATTTCCTGGTGAAGGCAGAGTCCGTGGCATGTTCCTTCTGCGCTGTGATGACCGGCTTCTGAGGTCCTGAACTCAACTTATGGCCAGCGCACCGGCCCGCCTCCTGCTCCAGAGAATGCCCCTCCACCGAAGCAGGTGGGACTTTCCGGTAGAAGCCACAAAGACAAAGCGCCTTGCCTGGAAAGGTTTGGGACCACAACCAGCAGCAGAGCCAGGACTTCTTGGCTGAATAGCTAATGCTCGCTTGATTCAAGCCATGGCAGGCGTGGAGCCCCCAAGCCGCATGGATGTGGCAGAAGGGCAAAGGCAAGGGATGGGGAGGCCGGGAACGGAGCGATCTCGATGCTAAGCGGCCAAGCCCATGATGGCAAGGCTGTGGCTGGAACCCCGCCATGACAGGACACGTGCCCTGGAATCTAGAGCTAAGAAGTCAACAAGAAACATCGGCAATCTTCTTTGAAGTGCCTGGCTGGCCACCGAGTTGTTCGTGCTCCTTGTATGTTAGGAGGACGACCCCCTCTGGCAGCTGCTCTTGCTGGGATTGCGGCCCTGGCTGCGCCGGCAGGACCCCGAGTAAAGCGCTGTGTTCCGCCAAATCGCCGAATCAGAAGCAGGCTCTCGCCTAGGGATCGCAAGTCTTTCAGTCGTAGCAGGACAAAGCCCTGTGCCGATGCCAGCAGCTCCGCTCAGACCGCCCCGTGGCTAGCATCAGCTCCTGGAGGAAGTGGTCGCCGCGAGCCGCCAGAATTTTTGACTGAGGCGGGCGACGATGGGCCAGAGCAGCGGTCCTGTGAGTAGGTTGGAGGCATGGGCTCTGCTTTTCCCTTCGCTGCGCTCACATGTGCGCTCTGTTGCGCTCGTCAGGCTCAGACCTGGCCTGGGCAACAGAGCAGCTGGCAAAGCGGCAGTTGGCAAAGCGGTAGCTCGAACAGCAGCAGCAGTTGGAGTGGCAGCGGCAGCTGGAGTGGCAGCGGCGGCTGGAGTGGCAATGGCGGCTGGAGTGGCAATGGCGGCTGGAGTGGCAATGGTGGCTCTTGGAGCAAGGATGCCAGTGGTTGGAAGGACAACAGCTGGCAGAGTGGCAGCGGCAGCGGCAGCAGCTGGCAGAAGGAGGAGTGGCCAAAGAAGACCCCACAGCAAGGCGAGTGAGCTGAGTAGGTTAATTGCGTTCCTTCATAGCTACTGGCGAGAGACCTCGTCTGGCGGAGTCCGAGTTGCGAGAGCGTAATGGCCACTGGGCACTAAGTTGTCATTCTGAATGCTGCGCCTGTGGCAGGCGAACACAAGCCAGCAGCCCGCCAATCAAATGCGATGGCTAGCTCAGACCGATCACGAACGCCAACGGGAAGGATCGCTAAGCATAATTCAAGCCGCAGGGCAGTGAATCACGAGTTGCATGATGAGAGCCTGAGCATTCGGCAAGGGCTGAGCCTCCCTGACAAGGCTGCTCTTTTGCCTGCAGTCCTCGTAACATCAAAAAATTAAGTGTGCAGGTCAGGACCTTCCTTTTCGTAGCCCCTATCAGGCATTTGCAGTCTTGTTGTCTTGAGGACGGTTGCTCCTCCAACTGCAGTCAAGAAAGCCGAGACAGTTCCCCACCCCTGGGAAGTTCACCACTCCACCGAGTACCAGCAACTCGGTCGCACATCTGCTTGAGATGCTTGAATTAAGGACTAGGGTCCGGGCATCCCAGACAGAATGAACTTAATTTCTTTTGCCAGTGCCCCCCCAGGCTCGACTACTACTGGAACTCCGAGACTGGCGAATCGGTCTGGGAGAAGCCCGAGAAATGGTGAAGAAGTGTGGAGGAGAAAGATTGCATTTGCAGATGTCGATGCGCCGGCGATATCTCCAGTTCTAGTTCTGCAAGGTCACACATGAAGGAGTGATGCGTCATGCTAAGATGCTGTAAGATACAGCAACCGTGCATGTTCCTGTTATGGCTCAAAATAAAATAGTAAACACCGTCCGGTGATCTCGCCAAGTCACCTAGCAAGGCGATGCAAGTGGCAAGTGACAGTCGCACGTGCAGTCCTTGCAGACCAGAGCACATGCCGGATGCCAACCCGCAGCTGTTTGTGCTTCGAAGCCGGGCGAGTTCGTCCATGTTCTCTGCAGGTTGTAGCCTGGCCGCCCTTGCCCATGGCGCAAATGCTGAAGATCAAAGCCGCCGGCGGGATCGATTTCCCTATTGAGGTGGCTGCGACAGGGGCGACGGTACAGGATGTGAAGATTGCGGCCACCGCGGGCTGCGACATGGATCCAGAAGTCATGAAGGCCGGCGATTTGTTGCGCCCCTGCATTGGCAACAGCCGCAGACATAGTTTGCGATGGGTGCAAATGCAGCAGCTAAGCAGGGGTATGGTGTTAATTGGAGCCAGTCCGGCCATGCCATGTCCATCGGAGTGCTTGATCATGCATGAATGAATGGATCCTGCTTCCAGGTCATCTACAAGGGCAAAGTCCTCAAGGATGAGGACACGTTGGCCAGTTGTGGCATCCAAACAGGCGATACTCTGCATGTTGCCAAAGGCATGAGCAGACCCGCCCCCCAGCCGAGTGAGAACCAGAGCTCCGGATATTCGGGAGCGAGCGGATCTGGGAAGGCGACTTTCGAGATCTGTTTCAAAGGTCCGAGCGGTGTGGAAGTTCGTTCCGACCAGTTCGGTGAAACGGACACAGTGGAGCAACTTCGTCAATTCGCCAGCTCTGAATTCGCCACAAATTCGGACGAAGTGCACCTCCTGCACAAAGGGAAGATTCTCAAAGATGGTGCCTCGCTGGGAAGTTGTGGCGTTGCTGCTGGCTCAGTGCTGAGAGTGGCACGTCGGCACAACGAGAAAGACGCGGCCAGCGATAACACGGTACAGCCGACCGAAGTTCCGGAGGTCGTCGGCTCACCCATGCCCATGGCTTGGGGCGCCAATTCGCAAGGCGAGTTGGAGCAAATTCGGACAATGGCACGGACTCTCGGGCTGCCGCTGGAGCCGTTGGAGCAGGTTTTGCGGGAGGTTCCCCCACAGCAGGCAATGACCGCAGCAATGCAGGAGATAGCACGATTGCGACGTGGGCCACCTGCTGGTGAGACAGCTGCAGAAATGCAAGCTAGATGGGATCGTGAGGCTGCTGACATGGCCCGGCAAGTGCGGGCTTATTTGTCTAGACGTGAGGAAGGAGAGGAACAGGAAGGGGATGGAGATGAAGAGCTGTTGGCTGACATCTCCCGGACACTGGCAGAGGCGCGGGCACGTGGAGCTCCTGTGCCGAATGCAGCTGTATTTGTGGATCGCACGGTCGCAAGGAGGCGCCAAGCTCGAGAGCTCCACGCGCGGATGGCTCGAGAGGCCAGTGGCCTGGACCCCGAAATCGAGGACGCTTTCGCGGCGGCAGAGCAATCCTTGGCTGCGAGTGCCAGGGCACCGCGCCGGCTGGGCGGAGAGCCCCGGCGTACAGAGTGAGACCTGCACAGCTCCTCTGGAAAGACGAAAATCATCCGAGAAGCGGCTGCCACAGATCTCATGCTTGCTGCTCTTTGGCTGTTAAGGCGAGGCCAGGCACCGTGCTCGAAGCTTATGTCGGTCAGGTGGCAGTGGCGATGGAAGCTGCTGGTGGCTGCCTTAACTATTGATGTACATGTTGCCTTTGTGACAGCTGTCGCGGCATTTGCTACGGATGCGTGTCATGCGTGTCTTGGAGAGACATGCGCATAAACCAACGAAGAGGAAGCATTTTTGTCTTGGCCGCAGCCCTCTTAGCTGGCTCGTGGCGAAGCCACGTGCAGCACTCCAGGCCTGCGGGGAGGTGCAAATCTTGCAATGTTCGGCATCGCACAGTTCCGTCAGAACATACTGTAGCTGGAATTGCTCTCCCATGGAAAACCATAATAGTCGGTGCTGAAACGGGCTCGACATGGCTCGACCCTGGAGGTCCATGATGGATGCTATGCGAAAGCGCAGCAACACATGGCAGCTCCTGGGCAGCAACGAGATCTACGCTAAGCCATCAAGAAGCTGGAAAGATCAACAACTGCGTGCCAAAACAATCCGAGACAGCTGCCGGTCAGGCACGGCGATGCAAGCCTGGACATGGCAGCGTGTGACTGTGGGAAAGGTGCCGCTGCAGGCAGAAGCGAAGCGAAGTGGCCGAGCTTGATCCTTGCAAGCTGGCATTGTTAATGCCCTGCGCTGGAAGGGCCCTCGATGAGCGGCCGCAAGAGCTTTCGGCAGGGCACAGCTGCAGAAGTCTCAAGCATTCTGGTGCCGATGCTATGAGTGCATGCTGACGCCGCGGTAAGGCCCGATCGCTGGAACCGCGTCGCACGGCGCTTTCAGATGCCCCAGCAGCTCGGCTGCAGGTGGGCTCCTGGTGTGTCTCCCTTGTATGAAGCTGCAAAGCTGAGGCAGTTGAAAAGATGGTCAGGGTGACTATTGGACTCAGCGCAGAATCCACTAAGAGCAACCTGACTTCTCACTGGCTTGCTGTGCTACAGTTTTTCTTGCAGCTGACGCGGCAACTTGTCCATTGGGGCTTACTCGATTCGAGAAAGGTATCGTCATCGACACCATGACAACCGTGGCAAAGCTACGGAGGAAGATTCAGGCCGTGATTTTGGGCTCTTTTTTCCGATCTCTCCGGCCAGCAGCTTCGGAGTTTAGTTCCCTCTCCCGTTTGGGTGTGGAATCGGTGCTTCAGGGTCCAAGCTGGGGG